AGCTCGGGTCACAGCTTTGCGAGGCTTGGGGCCCAATATAGTTTGTGCTCCTTGCAGGGAGCTCGGGTTCTCAATAGGGAGCTCGGGTTCTTAATAGGGAGCTCGGACTCTTAATAGGGAGCTCGCTCTTAATAGGGAGCTCGGACTCTTAATAGGGAGCTCGGACTCTTAATAGGGAGCTCGCTCTTAATAGGGAGCTCAGACTCTTAATAGGGAGCTCGGACTCCCAGTAGGGAGCTCGGGCTCCTAGTAGGGCGGTCTGGAGTTTGGGCTCAGTAGTGAGCTTGAACTTGCTTTCGGTGTTCGCTTTGGGCGCTCTATTGTCCTGAGTTGCTTGTTTTTGCCACGTGTCGGGTGATTACGAGGTCGGGCCAAATTCCCCTTCATCAAAAATGATAAAAACTCCCGTTTTATACATCAATGTTCGCCCGTGAATTGGCATCAATTCCGTTTTGGCAACTTCCCCAACTGCACTTTGGCCCTAAAAATTCTGACCTGGGCTGAACCATCATTCTTTCAAAATATAACAAGTAGAAGCATATCAAAAGGCATAATGCACAGTTTTTAGGTTTTCGGCCCCTGCCCAATTTCTGCTTCCAATGGGAGTGCTGAATTGAGCCTTCTTTATAGGGTGTTGGGACTTGGGAGCGGGCCCTCGACCCAAGTCCAATCTTTAGTATCAGCCAATTCAATATGGGAAATTAAAAAGAGAATTGGGCCCCTATGGCCCATTGAACATTGTTGTATAATTTAAAGGGTAAATTGTTGAAACTTCCCTTGAAGCTTTCTGCCTGTTGCTGAAACTTCTTCTAAAGTTTGGTAATTGCAATCACATCTTCTAAAATTTAGAATCTTCTAAAAAGAAGCATGAAAATGTCCAAGGTATCTATTTAATTACTTTTGGCCAAAATGTCCAGGTAATTGCATTTACCTAGGGGTAAATAACTTACCAAAAAGCGAACGGGACCCAAAAAGAAAAAAAAAAGGTTGTATGTTGAAATAGGGGGAAAGGCAAGAAGAGGAGATAGTTGCCCCTCCTACAATTGAGATTTGAAGAGTGACTAATCAAACAGAATGCTATAATTAATTCTCATTTCCTTTTTGGTGCTTTTCAAGTAGGTGTTTGGCATCGGTGCTAGGAACACAACATCATGTTGGACATGCCTGGGTTGTAAAAGGGTGCTTATTTTTTGTTTGGAAGTGGTGCTATCGCATAGATTGTTTTCTGGGAAAACAGCATTGGTTTTGCTTGGCACCAGTGCTAAAGAATCGTTTTCAGCATTGGTCATATTATCCAACATCTAAGATGATGCCACATTGATACCATATCATTGCACTGCTGACAACAATGGACTGTTTTCTGAGAAAACATTGAATTTTCTATATTAGAAAATTTGTTTTTATTTTGAAAACCACTATTTTATTGGTTTCAAAAACATGTATTATTTTTTAAAACAAAACCAACTTTTTTTTTTACTTTGAAAACAATAACAGAATTTAAGAACATAGTTTTTTTTTTTTGATGATATGACGATTCCAAAAACAAATGAAAAAAAAAACATTCATATTGTAGAACTCCTCGTAAGTTTTAAAACCTTCAAATTCTTTAAATTCTAAGAATTAGGAACTTCTATCGAGTTTAAATAGTAGTAGCAGGTGTGAAATAATGGTGAACAGATGGTGATCATCACCTGTAAATGTTAATGCTTTTAATACTCTGAACCTCGGTATAAAGTAGTTCAGATTGTTAGCCATTGGGGTCAGGAAACCTGCTTTGTTGGATCCAAATATAAATATGCATGGATAGGTATTTCCTAGGGGTGCAATCCGGGTTGACCCGAATAAGCATTTTACAATTTACACTGATAAGCTCATTCAAATTGTGACAAAAAAAGCCCAACCCAATCCTGTTCAAGTTGCTCTCCCAGCACGGTTCTAAAAACCGGAGTAGACATGAAACTACTTTGGACCAATTCTTGGATTGAACGGTCCGAAACAGATAGTCCATTCTGATTTAAAAAGTAAAAATAATTAAAATAAAAAAAAAAGCGGTCAAAAAAACATTGTTCAAGTCGATAGGGTGACGATTAAACCACTTGGATCAGCGAATTGACCGATTCTCGAGTCAACCGGTCCAGTTTTCAAAACCATACTCCCTAGTACATCCGTAATGGATTCAGGTTATGAACTTAGGGTGTCCATGCATTATACGGGTCGAACCCGACCCGGATTGGTTTGACCTGAGTCCATCTTCATGGTAGAACCGTAGAATCCACAGTGGTCCATGTAGTGTGCTTTCGCGGTGGGCTTTATCATGTGCACCACAACAATGCCTCCACAAATGATGGGATCAGATGGTCTCATTCAATGTAACCAACTCTTCTTCCTCTTTAGTCCCTTTTGAGTTTTAAACTGGACACATTATCACGTTAACAACGACAAAGATTGTGTATCTACCGGTATTTATCACAATCATTGATGGCTTTCGTGTCCAATGAAACAGTGCAGGCACCGTTCTTCAATTGTTTTTTTCTTTTTGGCTTCTTAGGTAAATATCCATGAATCCAAGACTAAGCAATTTCATGTTTCCGTCTACATCATCCTTCCCTTTTCTCCATATATGGCATACACGTCCCCCCACATGCTCACACATTGTGTCACGCGAGTTCATTACACGCGCTTACTTCTCATGCTCAGTAATCTCTCCATGAACCGAAAGATAAAAATTAAAAAAGAAAAAAGAAAAAAGAAAAATAATTTTATCAGAAAAAAAAAATTGAGAGAGAAATCTCTCTCTTCTCTGTCTTTTCTCTCTTCAATGTTCTATATATAAACCTCGTTAAACCCTCCAAGCTTCAATGCCCTTCTTCTCGTTTTTTTCAGAAGAAGAAAATGGTGAAGTTCTCCAAGGAGCTTGAAGCTCAGCTGATTCCCGAATGGAAGGATGCCTTCGTGAATTACTGGCAACTGAAGAAAAACGTGAAGAAGATTAAGCTTAAGCTTTCCAGAAAAGCAGAGGAAATCCAAGAGAAACATGAGTATGGGTTCTCCGTCTTGGATCCCATTCTAAGCATTGCGAAGAAAATCTCTACAAGATTTCCTAGCAGCGGTGTCCAAACCGAGATAATTCAGGTAGAAAACTACGTGAATATAGTATTAGACAGATGGATCTTGGATTTTACAAGGAGCTTTTCTATTCGTATTTCAGTTTTCGATATTTTTCTCCTTTAATTACATCTCACGGATATTTCGTCAGATTCCTTTTAGTGCTTTGTTCGGTTTCCAATAACGTGTTTTAAGTAATTTCCCTGAAGGGTCGATAGGTTTCATCAGATTTCAGTGTGTTTCGACTGTTTTGTTGGTTTTCTTGTAATGGGGTCAGGTTTTCCGGCAAGTTGAAAACAGAGAAATATCTGAAGCTTTCGAGCTTAATTAGATTTTTCATTTGTCTGTTTTCTTCTTCCTTTCCAGCTTTTCCGTAAGAAAAAAGCAACCACATATATCATGTTGAGAGACAAATCGTAGCTCCCCTTCGTTCGTCCTCTTTTCCATATTTTCCACGTTTGAGTTAGGTTTTTCGCTTTCTCCTTTCTGTCTGGTTTTTCTCTTCTGTTTCGGTTATCTCGCTTTATCTTACGCGTGGGACATGCTTAGAGACCAGAACGTTTGTCAGTTAACCGATTACATGTAACGATTCTTCCGGTCCTTTTCGCCGGAAAAGGAGAATCTCCGGTCACTTTCGGCGAGATTCATTAGTTTAGAATCTACTCCCAAAATGTTCAAGCCCAAAAGTCGCCCGGAAAGTCATAAACGTCGTCGAGCCCCGGCAAAGTTGTCACTTTTCAGCCTTGTTCTCTCTCTCTCTCTCTCTCTCTCTCTTTGCGTCAAAACGGACATGCATAGAAAAACCGTTGATAATCACGAAATCATCGTGAGTGAGAAGAAGAAATGAGACCCATTTAAAATCAAGTTTTTCACAAATATTAGGGAACTAATAAACTAATTAAAACATAGTAGTTTTTTAATTCTTCTATTTTTTTACTATAGGTGAGAAATAAAAATAGAGGAGGAGATGAAGAGGATATCTACCAAACGGAACTTGTTCAGTTATTCTCAGAGGAAGATGAGGTAAACTCTTTGCTTTATTGAAATTTGTATGATTTCTTGAGCTTTGCATTTGAATTTAAGCAAACCCATAAAATAGTTCTCAATGGAAATAAATGGTTTTATCTGGATTTATCTTCTGGCTATCTGAGTGTTTGTTTTTGTTTTCTCTTATGGGGTTGAATAGGTGAAGGAGTTCTTTAGCTGTTTGGATGAAGAACTAAACAAAGTGAACCAGTTCTACAGAACCAAAGAAAGTGAATTCATAGAGAGAGGAGAACTCCTCAACAAACAGCTACGTATTCTCCTTGAACTGAAGCAAATTCTTAATGACCGTCGCCGGAAGAATCTTCAGTCGAGATTGGAAGGCGGAACGCTTCCTCGCTCCAACTCCTCATCGGTTCGGAGCTCCAACCATTCAGGTCAATTTTCTTTTCTTTCTCTTCACGTTTTAAATCTAGTTTTCAAGAGCTAACCCGAGGAAAGAGAATGATACTGAATCCTTCTTACGCAGAGTTCTATACTGAATCCGATGAGACGCCGCCGGAGACCCCTGCACCGGACGAGATAATTGCGGCACTGGAGAGGAACGGCGTTAACTTTATAGGGTCGCCGGCTAGAACAAAGACAAAGAAAGGGAAACCGAAGATGTCAATGAGGATCGATATTCCGGCAACAACTCCAACACGCGCAATCACAGCAGTTACGTCGATGATTTGGGAGGATCTAGTGAACAATCCTAAGAAAGAAGGCGTAGGAGACTTCTTTAACAGAAAGAAGATCCAGTGTGCAGAAAAGATGATCAGAGGAGCTTTTGTGGAGCTCTACAGAGGGCTGGGTCTACTGAAAACTTACAGGTGAAGACCACTCTGACCTCTGTGGGTAATAACTGATAATTTGGCACCATGAGAACTGGTGAAGTTTCACGTTAAGGGTAAAATGGTCATAAAAAATCATGACTGTTTCACGTAACCACGTAAAGCTCTCCATTCTTACTAATTGCCTAAATGGGTGAACGGAAGTTTACCAGCTGCCACAGAGTCACGGGTCTATTAGAAGGTTAAATCTGCCATTTTGCAATTCTCATCTGGTAAATGACTTTCTTGCCCGTGAAATAGGGTCAATATCAGGGAAGTTGGCCTTCGTTATAAGTTCCCATCACACATTGGTTAAACGAGTTGTAAGACGGAAATTTTTGGGAATTAGTTGAAGTTTTTAATTAAGTTGTGTTTGTGACTTCTTGTGCACTTTTTTTTATATTCCATCTAAATTAATGAGAGACTGACTTATTACACTTTTGCTGTATTTGGCAGCTCACTGAATATGGTGGCTTTCACAAAGATACTTAAGAAGTTCGACAAGGTAAGGTCATCCATTAACACCCAACCAAACACAAATTAAACCAAGAATATCAAAGGGCAGTTTGGTCATTGAAAGGATGATATGATCTTACTTATACTGCTCAATTTCAATAATAATAGCAACAATAACAATAATAATAATAATAATAATAATAATAATAATAATAATAATAATAATAATAATAATATGATTTGAATATTATCATAGGTTGTAAAAAATTAAACCAGACCAAATTCGACTGATTGACCCAGGATCACAGATGAAAACCGGCTTTAGAAAAAATGAACCGGTTGGTTGAACTGGTTAAACCAAAAAAGGAATTAGGACTACTACCATTTGGGGTCAGTTACTTTTCTGGCTTTCTTTTCATCTAGAAGAATAATTAAGCCGGGAAAATCTATTTTCCTTAAGGAAAACATCTATAAGCTTTCACATGAAGAGTATGAAATTCTAACAAGCATCACTATCTATATATAGTTTGATGCAGAAGTAATTAAGGAAGAGTTTCGTTTCTTTCAGAAATGAATTATTTGATGAATTGAGAAAGACAATTTTGTAACGGAATTACTTTTAACAGGTGGCCAACCAACAAGCTTCAGGGAGCTATTTGAGAGCAGTGAAGAGATCACATTTCATCAGCTCCGACAAGGTATGGTGTAGCATTAGATGCCTTCATCTCATACGCATATTCTAACGTACGCGTGGTGAGTAGACACGCACCACATGCCACATGTCTCCGATTTCCTTCACAGGAATATGGAATTCATTTCACGAGCTCCAACTCAGACCAGTGCTTCCAAAAAGCAATTAAAGATGCGCATTGTACACCATACCAAAATACATAAATAAAAAAATAAATATATCCCCATAAGCAAGGAGAAGGAATGAAGGACGGATTATAATCGTAATCTGTGTCCTTGTCATCGGCATAGATTCGACGACAATGTCCATCAATCTGAACCATCCATTAATTAATTCTGGATCATCCAATCATCCCCATCAATCTTAATAACCATCTTATGCCCTGGGGGTGCTTCTTCCAACTTTTATTATTTATATATATATATATATATATTATGTTATAGCTTTTTGTCTTTGACAGAAAAAGAAAAATTAAAAGATAAACATACTTTGAGCTAAAATTTATCATGTAAATAATATTTCTAATATTCTGAAAGTATCTTATATATCTATCTATTTCTTTTATCTTCCCTGTTTATATTCTTTTAGATAAGATAGCCATGATCCCTGTCATGTCTGTATATATAAAAGCACCCATCTTCTATTCCATGCAAAATTATTTTTTCTTTTTTTAAAATTTTTATACCGATCTCACAGGCACATCTCACCATGGGAATATCTTCTATGAATAAATGTACAAATATGAGAGATATTCCTAATGTAAAGTTAGTATGAAGTGACCTATTTAAGGAGCTAGCAGATTCCAAATCTACATTAGACCTAATTAGTGGGTTAATGGTATCAGGATACATGTGCTGCACCTGCAGCCTGCAGGCCCATTGGCACTCACTAAACGAAGAACATACACTTTAAAGGGTTTAAATCCATGCACGTTTTCATGAAAGAAGCCTTGCTAAGTGAYCAATTGAACTATTGGGTTACCCGCAGTCAACTGGAAGCCCAATTCTCAAATTTATGACCAACTCATGCCAAGTTGGTTGATAAGACCTCTCACTGGTTGTAGCGGAGACTTGGGTATAGGTATGGGGGTGGGTAGTAGGCCACGTCCATTTTATAGTCTCATAAAAAAACACTTGAATTATAATAAATGTGCATAATAATAATAATTTATAGGATAATTAGTCTTATTCTGACTGAATTATATATTGATGTGTATGGGTGAAGGTGGTAAGACTGGCGGATGAAGTGGAGTCCATATTCACAAAGCACTTCGCCAACAACGACAGGAAAAAAGCAATGAAGTTTCTGAGGCCCCAACAGCAGAAAGAATCTCACATGATTACCTTTTTTGTCGGTAACTCCCACTATTTTAACTAGCTACTCTCTCTCTGCACTAAACAAACAAACAACTTCAATATTCCGAATTAGATCCTTCCAACGCTTATTCACAGCAACTGCCCTCACTCGCATACTCTCTTCCATTCATTTTGTCTCGGTGAAGCCGATGATGATGCCCCTTTTAGGTATCGAGCTATGGGTAGATACCCGGACCCGAATAAGCGCACAACCAGGCGGGTTATTGGGTTCATATTTGCTTTTCACCAATCGCCATCACAGAGTGGAAATGGGCTTGGTGAGTTGGCAGTTGGGAAATCACTTACTGCTTTAGGAATTATGACCATAGGTCATAGTCCGCGTCAGCTTGATTAAAAGGGCTCACATCCACTCTGATCATGCGGGCCTAATCACCCCTGACTATGACGGTATGGGAATTCATTATCCGTACATGCACTAGCTGAATCCTTGCCATTCAATTTCAGTGGGCCACCACTGGGTATAGGATTGCCATTTGCTTAATAGGAGGGTGAATTTCTGTCGTCACTTTGGGATTTGGGAATTGATTCCTACCTAGACCTCGCAATTGGGTTGAGTTCGGTTTGGGTGAAGACTGAATACACTTAGGGTTGATTTCGGGTTGGGTCGGCAAATACTAAACTCTAACTCTAAATGTTTGGGTTAAGATTGACCCACGGGTCAATTTGGATCATTCAAAAAAAAGTGAAATTTTATAAAATAAAGAAAAAAATATAATAAAATGCTAAAATTAAAAGAATTAATCTTAAAAAACCAAAAATAAAATATAAAACTTGAATATTTAACAATTCGAAAAATAAACAATAAAGAATAAATGATAAATAGTAATAATTAAAGAGTGAAATTTTCTAATAATATATAAAGTCTCAATTAGACTTAACAATCGGGTTAGCAGATTGACCCATGATCCAATCCAATTCAACCCAGTTTTTTCCCGGGCTGGGTCAGATCGGGTCATTCTTAAATTCAGATAGTTATATATGAAACCCTAACCTATTTTGTCGGATTGGGTTGGATCAACTTTTTGCCAGGTCTATTCCTACCTGACACCAATCCACTGGTTAAATGCTGCCCTTCATCTGAGGGGCCCTTCCTTACCAATTAGAGAAATCCAAATCTATGATCCAGTGGTCAACATGTGAAATGGTTTTGATGCATGGATGGGTATCTGGGTGGGGGCCCAACGAAAATCAAGTAAGAAAAGAATGAGGGAATTCACGTTGATTGCTGAAGCTTCTTATCTGCACCGTTGGTTGCAGGGCTGTTTACGGGTTGTTTTGTAACGCTGTTCGGTGTGTATGCAATCTTGGCTCACTTGTCTGGTATGTTCTCTGCTACATCGGAAGTTGGATATATAGAAACCGTCTACCCCGTTTTCAGGTATCGGGATTGATTCCAAATCTTCTATTTATACTTTTGTTTTATTATAATTTCACAAATATCATCCTTTTTTTTTACCTAACTTGATCGTGGGGTTTATCGAACAATCCAAACCCGGCTGGCTCAGCCCAAATTGGGCTTGGATTTTTGCTGGGCCGGGCCTGGGCCTAAATCCCTGGGCTTTTTGCTTTTCAGGCTGGGCCCAGGCCTGGTCCTTAGATAGTCCGAGCCCAAACCGTCTTTAACCCAATTACTGCTTGTGCTAATAAATAATAAATAGGTTTAGGACATTGGGCGTTTATTTATTGTCGCACGAACCCAAGAGTACAAAATTTTACTCTGGGCAGGGCCTAGGTTGGACACAAATCGGGCTTGACATCAAGCTCAGTCCGGGCTTAAGCTTTAGGCCCAAGGCCCATGACTGATGGTTGGGCTCAGTCCGACCTGAAGCCACTCCAACCCAAATGGGCCAAACATGGGATAGCAAACTGACCCACCCCATTGTGTGAGGGCCCACTTGGACTCTCACAGTGTTCCTGTTGTATATTGTTGATACAGAGAAGTTATTTTTTGTGCAGCATGATTGCTTTGCTCAGCTTGCACCTGTTCATGTATGGGTGCAACCTTTTCATGTGGAAGAGCACCCGGATCAACTACAACTTCATATTTGAATTCAATCCAAGCACAGCTCTCAAGTATAGAGATGCCTTCTTGATCTGCACCTCCTTTATGACAACGGTGGTGGGGGCCATGGTCATCCACCTCCTCTTAAGATCCAACGGTTTCTCACCAAGCCAAGTGGATACCATCCCTGGGGTTCTCCTTCTGGTGAGATGTTACTACTCCACTTTTATTAATGCTTGCTTTAGTTTTCACCATCAAGTGTTAGTTCTCCAGATACTTTGATTGTCATAGATTACAGACAGACTTTGAATCACAGAAGAAATTTCACTTAATTTGGTAGAGAAGAAAAGTCTGCAACTAAATTGTAGCTAGCCAGAGGATTTGTTTTGGTATGTGATGTCTCGACCCAAGAAACTCAATTCTCTTTTGTTGCAAACTTTGAAGCCACAAGGTGAAATTTGAGGTTGCATTCTTTTTCTGAACACTGGAAAAGTTGTCTCTTTACTGACCCAATCACATCTTCCCCCAGTCATTTCTTTTTGGTGCCACCCCATTAAGACACGGTTGAAATCAGGTATACTCTAGCCCAACAACCAGTTTCACTGAGAAAACAGAGTTCTCTAGACACCCTTCTTACTTGCTTTAATGCAGAACTTTTTGATTGTATGTTAAATTAATGCAGTAAGATATTTAAGGAGACATGGACTCATGACCTGGGACACATTGGATACAGAGATACCTATTAAAAACTACATCTTTTGTAATGCATTGGTGTATTAATCAGTGTTTGAACTTGTGGCTAACTCTTCAGTGTTCCATTTTCAGCTTTATACAGGCTTGCTTATATGCCCATTCAATATTTTCTACCGCTCAACTCGTTACAGTTTTCTTCGAGTTATGCGGAACATTATATTTTCTCCATTTTATAAGGTATGCTGCTTCTATTTTTCAAAAAATTTCATTGTTTATCATGGCCTGGTATCTGCATAAATGCTCAAATATGGTACTGAAAGAATCTTGTGATCTGGCATGTGACAATTTTCAGGTTTTGATGGTAGATTTCTTCATGGCTGACCAATTAACTAGCCAGGTAATGTCCCTCTACTATAAGCTCAGCTAATTTGAACAAGCATATTTATCACTTATTTAACCTAACAAATCAAAAATTTAGGACAGTATCAACAGAAATTATAATCATCACCTTCACCTAAGCCATTCCATTCTGTCCAGTGCCATATCTAGTGCTTCTCTAACAGTAAATGCTTCTTCAATTTTCATTCTCAGATTCCATTGCTAAGGCACATGGAGTCTACAGCCTGCTACATTATTGCCGGAAGCTTCAAAACTCACCAATATGAGACCTGCAATTCTAGCAAGCTATACAAGGAGCTTGCTTATGTTATCTCATTTTCACCATACTATTGGCGTGCCATGCAGGTATATGATCCAAGTTCTTTATGAAAGGTTCAATAAATGTCTGAAAATTTGCAATCTTGTTCTTCCACCAAAGAGAAATCTTGGCTCTAAATTCTATTGGAACTTTATGATTATTGAAATGTTGGCTAACATTTTGGTACACTGTCGTAACTTGTAAATACAAGTGTGCAAGAAGATGGTTTGATGAAGGTGATGTCAACCATTTGGCTAACTTGGGGAAGTACGTTTCTGCCATGCTGGCTGCTGGTGCCAGGCTAACATTTGCAATGCAGCCTACTCAACTATGGCTGGTCATGGTCATAATCACATCTTCCATAGCAACTGTTTATCAACTGTATTGGGATTTTGTTAAGGACTGGGGGCTTCTCAACCCAAAATCCAAAAATCCATGGCTTAGGGATGACCTGATCTTAAAGAACAAGTGCATCTACTATGTCTCAATTGTGAGTTTTTCTTCATACATTGATGCTTTATTTTCTGTCTTCCCAAATTGCAAATATATAATTTCTGAACAGAGCAATTTCTCTTCAACTGTAGGCCATAAATTTGGTGCTAAGACTTGTCTGGGTGGAGACTGTAATGCGCTTCAACTTGAAGACAGTTGAGTCTCGACTGCTAGACTTTTTCTTGGCTTCCCTAGAAGTAATTCGACGTGGACACTGGAATTTTTACAGGTACTTTAACTCACTCCTTTTGACTGTTGATAAGAAGAGAAGATATGGGAAACATCATTTTCCACTGTTAGCATTTTCTTTTGGAATATATAGCATAAACTGTGTTTGAATGACTGACAATTGAACCAAATCAAATACATTCAAAAACATAAGGTTTACAAGTTTGGTTATCATTTCACCCTTTAAGGAAAAATAGCCTATCTAATACATCAATTTACTTCGACTAAACAGGCTGGAGAATGAGCACTTGAACAATGCTGGCAAATTCAGGGCGGTGAAGGCAGTACCATTACCATTTTGCGAGATGGACACAGATTGCTGAAATTGTTTCTGGGGGAACTTGTACAGTAAATCTGGGACAAGAAGCAATTAACTATGGTGGATCGGAGTGCATGTTTTGCTCCAAAACTGCATGAGTTCTGACTCATCTTTTATCAAGAGACTAACTTAGTCTGAAATGCAAGGTTTCTTAATGCAGTGAAGAAGGGACAATCCAGATGAAGTTGTATCTCTTTTGTACATTTCGTTATTTGGGATTTGGTGCCAAATTGGATTCAGTGAGTGTATTATTTTGTGTTCAGAAAAGTTTGATGGAAGTGTTTTACATAAAAGAACAGCAGAACTTCCATGGTACGAATTCAAAACTGAATATCCTCAAGGAAAAGGTAAAAAAGGAAGTAAGCGAATCTATGGGAAGTATCCTTATTAGGAATCAGTGAACCTAATAATGCCATTACTGATGAACAAGTAGAAAAGCTTAAGGAAATATTCATGGGTAAGAAGAAAATAAAATAAAATATGAAAGCTGGTTAGGTCCTATACAAGGCTCAATTAAGAATATGTTATGACAGTAATATTGTTTTAGTGTTTCTATTTAGATATTAAGGGGGGCGTTCTACAACATGAATGTTTTTGTTTTCATTTGTTTTTGGAATCGCTACATCAGCAAAAAATACAAACAAACAAACAAAAACAAAAGCATGTTCTTGAATTCTGTTGTTGTTTTCAAAGGGAAAAACAAGTTGGTTTTGTTTTAAAAATAAATACATATGTTTTTAGAACCAACAATGTATTGGTTTTTAAAACAAAAACAAAATTTTTAGTATAGAAATTATATGATTTGTGGAACATGATGTTGAATAATCAAATGAAAACATGATTTTGAAATCAGATTCAATAACACGTTTTTGGTTTCAGTTTTGAAAACAAAAAATGCATAAACAACCAAGAGCATGTTTCTTGTGTTTTTGTTTTAAGAAACAATATGCTTGCAAACAAGATGGTTTTGATTTGTTTTCGGATCCAGCAACAAGAAAAACAATTCACATTGTAGAACGCCCCGCAAGTTTCTGAGAATAAGTTATTGCCATGTTAGCAGAGCGAGGACCCATAACATCATAAGTAAATATAATCGGGTTTCCTATAAGGAAGAAAACATTGAGGTTATATAACATCATCTTCCTAATTCTACACACAAGTCAACAAGAACAAAAAGGCTAAAAATGACCAAAAAAACTCATATTTTTTACTCTCTTCTTCCAATCCTGGTTATAATATGTCCATGAAGTTTATTTAATGGACCTCGCTAACCTGTTTCTTTGGTGCAATAGTATTGAACGGACCTTGAGGCCTCGTTCGCTTTTCGGTAAGTTACTTTGCACTTACTTGGGGTAAGTGTTTACTCACCCATGTAAGTGCATTTACCCATGTTCTTTTATTTCCTAGGTAAATAAGGCAATGGCCATTTTAGCCATACAAATTCATTATTAAAAGAGGCATTTTTGTCCCATTCAAGGTTTAATGACTTTCCCCCAGGTGGGAAAGTTATTTATCCACTTAGGAGATGGGTATCATTTGCAAAGGTAAGTGATACCCAAGAAAATAAACTTTCCCTGGTCGCCACATAAAACTGGAAAAAGAACATGGGTTTCTTGGTCAGTGGGAATCAAAATCCCATTGACCAACTTTCCCCCCTCTCAAACTCTAAAAAAAGAATGCCCCCTTAATGGTTCAACCCCATCATTCAATGCATTCAATTGTTATTATCATACTTTTATCATCTGTCATACTATAAGATCCATTTCCAACTTTGAGGTGGAAATTATTATTTCTTATTTTTCTTTTGGTGAAACAAAAGCAACAATTCTAATGCATGCAATAAATAGAGAACCATAAAAACACAAGCAATTTATTGTTAAGCAGCTCTCAAGTCCAAACAACTGAACACTATTTGCAATAGAGATGTAACTTTTGGAGCTTCCTTTAGCCACATTAAAGTATTGGTTTAATGTTTCACCATTTTGTAGCTTTTATTAGATGCTCCTAGATCATCAGAATTATGATTCATCAAAGCATGGTTTGTATCTTCTTTTATGTGCTCTTGTGCCAACATCTATGTAGCTCAACCCGCTGATAACTAAGAAGGCAGGAAGGAGGACATTGTGCATACTTACCCCTTCCCATGGCCATTGACTTCTTATTCTTGGTGGCTTGGTTGTGACAAGAAAATGAACTGAGCTATCAACAAATTCATACAGGCATGGCATTTATGGTAGTCTACAATTGGAAGGGTTATTTTGTCATGATACAAGCAATTTAAGCTCAGTTAACACCTTTAGAATATCATGTCATATCCTTCAATAGTTCCTTCTTGTCCATAGGCCCAATAGTTCATTCATCTTAAGATAGTTAATGTAGGTGTTATCCAGCCAGGCCCCACTAATTGGCTTCTGTATTTTTGACTACTTCACCTGCACTAGGACAAGGGGAAAGCCCTCTCACAAAATGTGATTAGAAAGAATAGTCTATCACTTCAAGTTCATAAAATCAAGAAATATTGTCATAGATTGGAAGATCAGGAGCTATCAAAATGGTAATACAAAGTAGATGCTAAATCAAACTCAATAATAAGCCCCAATAAAAAGGTTAAAAATCAAACATCAAAGATAATAATCTATCTTGAAATTCCTAGACGGGTCTTTCATTGATTATTTGGTGTCAAGTGAGAATCAACTCCTAAATTTTGTTAACCAAGATCTCCTTCAACCTTAGGTCACACAATCTGGATAGCCAAGCTGCTCATGCCACATTACGCTTGAACAAGAGGTGGATACTATATTCATTATCCAAACCACAGACTGGACACATAGGAGTAGAGAGGATACACCCTGAATAATGAAGGTCTATTTCCTAGCATTAGTTTTTAGTTTCACATACACCTTCCAAAGAATTTTATCTTGGGTAGTACCTTAGGTGTTGTTTGGTACAGTGGCATTGCACTGCCGTTGCATTTTGGGTTGATTAACACGAATTAGTGAGAAATATGTGTGGTCGAATCAAATGTGTCATTTCAACCAGAAAATGCATGTGCCTGAGAAACATTAAATTTGACATTTTAGGTAAAAATAACATTTTGTATTGATCAACTCAAAATGTTTTAGAAAAAAAAAACAAAAAAAAAATCTCTCTCACACAAATTTGTATTGATCAACCCAAAATGCAATGGCAACACAATGCCACTGTACCAAACACCTCCCTAGTTACCAACTGATCTTCCATAAATTTGGGTTGCTCTAGTTCTATTTCCCTTTGCTTCATTTGTTTCCTCTGATTAGCCAAGTGTCAACACCCGAYTTTTGCTCAGTCTGCCACATGAACCTCCCCCCCCCCAATTCACCCTAAATTCCCAATCAGACCCTTCCAATCCTTTCAAAATACCTAAAAACTCAAGAAACCCGAATTTTACCCTAAGAGCCCTTAAATCCATCGTTAAATCTTCTCGTTACCAATCCGATGGCCCTGATCAACCCCCATCCGCACCTCAATCCTTAGACTAGACACTACCATTAAACCCTAGACGACCTATAATACCTACCTAGCAAATTTGAATTCAAAATCCCTTCACTTACCCTCTCATCAAATGAAGATTCCATTTCGACCCCCCTCGTTAAGCCTAGAACACCCACAACCCAGATTCCCTCAATTTTAACACATCCAAACCATTCTTACCACACCATTAAACTCTGGACATACCAAAACACCTGCCTATAAAGTTTTAACCCAAGATTCCCCCATTCACCCTTTCATTAAACCAAGATTCCATTTCGAATCTTTTTGTTGACCCAAATTCCTATGATCTTGACCCTCCAAAACTAATATGACATCATCATCAGATCCCAGACACCTCCAAATATACACCTGTAAAATTTCAGCTCAAAACACCCTTCTTTTCCCCTTAACCACACAGATTCAGTTTCAAGACTCTATATTAACCAAATCGAGCCCTTTCCAAATCTGCCCCATCCGGGCCCAGTTGGGCCAATTCAACCCTACCGATCAACTCAAAATGTCTAGAAAAACCGCCCTGTGAAATTTCAGTCAAAAATATCCCCGTTTACCCACCCATCTGGAAAAATTCCTTTTCAACCAATCTTATTGGCTCGCATACACAAAACCTTTCTTTGCACTTAAACCCATCTTAACCCTCCATTTTTTTACCTAAAAATCCCCACCTTTGAACTAGAACCCTTGGTTTAACCTCATGGACCAGTTTTGACCAATGTTTACAAAATTCCAAAAAATGTCCTTAAATTTCGTAAAACTTTACAAAAATACCCATGGCACTCTTTAAAAGGGGTTGGTTGATTCATTTCGCCCTAAGCTCGAGAGATCATTGTTAAGGGAATCTACTATTCATCTTCGTTTTCCTTAGACACATAATACAGGCGTCGGCGTTTTCTTCTCCTTCCCCTCTCTGGTTACTTCTCCGATTTCCTTACTTTATCCCTACCTGTGAGACCGAGATACAATGACAATGACGCGCAACTCCACCATTGATTCTAGTTTAAGTGTGACATCCCTTCTCAATGAAACCAAAGCTAAGGAGATTGTTTTATTCCAGAAAATCCTCTTAGACAAGATTCATCTCGTCATTTTTGTATGAAGAATACTGTTAGTTGAAACTGTAACAAGTTTGGACTCCCTTTGCACGTCGATTGAGTTTAGACCATGACATAGAAGGTATAGCCCTCACACAACTCTTTGTTAATTTGCTTTTCCTTTCTTTCGTTATTGTTTGGTTTATCGATTTATTTTCATTTTGTTGTTGTGAAATGACTAAGATCTAAAAGGAAGGGTGAAATTACCGAAGTTGGTGATGAAGCTCATGTCAAACCAGCTCCGATAGAGTAACTAGCAATAGCTCAACTCTGTTACCCCCCTCTGTTCATCACATCCTTATCGTTGTGAACCTTGAATCGATCATTTCTTGGCTTTTCGATTTGCTTTGTTTCTAGAAACAAATGATAATGATGATAAGTGTGTTGGTTCTCGTCCATATCTGCTTTGTTTTCTTTCCTTTCTTTTTTATTAAAGTCTAAGAATATTTTAGATGAAATGGTTAATTGCTTTTTGGCTTTGAATCTCGGTATATGTTCCAATGCTCCGTACCCATTATCAACTGGTTGTGCATTACTTTTTTGTCTCACTTAGTGGCTGTATGAGCACAATATACCCTCTGTTTGTGTTCGTTTTGATTACATTGTTATTTTTCTAGGTAATGGATTTAATAACCACCGTCTGTAACTCCTATTGGGACTGATTCGGGAATTGAGATGGTTTGCAGTTTAGCAACAATGACATATAGCTGGAGAAAGACGTTGGTGAGAGCCTCTTATTG